TTTCTGCTTGGAGCAGTTCATATCTGTATATGTAATGTCGGTGATAGCATCGCTTCATTTTTGGGTTCTCCCCCTAGGGTAAGATGAAGAAGAGAAACCTGCCCATATTCAGGAATACAGAGAGTGAACTTCCCCTATGAAAGATGGGACAAGAAGAAGGACCACAGTCTGCTATTTCTAAGGGATGAATGGAGGTAACTGGGGATTATCATATGGCACAACATATCAGAGGATGCCTTAAAGTAATTAATACCATCGCGTGCTTTGATGCCTCTGGTTAGAAATATGGAGCCAGGCACCATGGTGGGATCCACTACAATCAAGCAGGCAGCAATGATATCAATTTTCTTTCTTATTTCTGAATGCTAAGTGCTTTGCAGCACAAATGATAAGACAGAATCATCGGTTGCTATCTTCTTGGCTTAGCTCCATTGACTTGGTTTTATACAAGCTGAAGATCTGACCTGTAAACAATGCTGTGTCAGTGAGACGGGGTAAATGAATATGAACAAAGCCATATGGGGAGGGAGAGGGCAAGGATCAGGGACACCCAGGGGTTTGGAAAGTTTTGCACCCAGCCTTGGTCTTCGTCTTGAGGTTCATGTTATTGGTTGTGCTGTTCCAGCTGACAGTATTTAAGAGTCTGAAGGTGAGTTAGCAAAATGCCAACTTCTTTGAGGAATCAAATCTGACTAAGCTGGGTGAAGGGCCAGCTCTGGCAGAAGCTGACCTCAGCAAAACTCTGCCCATTAACCTCCCTACATCCATTGCACTCTACTGATGCTGTGCAAGGTAGAAGTGATGTGGGAAAGTTATTCCTCTGCTGTTACTGGTTGTTACTGGGCTCAGGTTGCAAAAGCTACATCTGAGTCATCAGTACTGCAAAGGCTTTTGTAAGGTATGTTTAGCTCAAGAACCATCACCATGACCGTGCAGATCTGGGCTTTGGCTTTTGAATACTGCCAAAGTCCAAAGCAAACTTTGGGAGTGGGGTAGCATGCACACCAGCAGCAGGGGCACGTTTAGGGGGAAAAATCGGAGGTGGGTATCTCATTTTCCAACCATTCATCTCCAGCTGAAACGGTGTTTTCCTCCATGGAGACAGAGCAATCTCTTTGCTCCCATGCCCTCTTGCTGTAGAGGAACTTCCAACCAGCATGGCTCAGAGGCTGTTTGTCTCCAGCTTGACCGTTCCTCCCCTCCTCCCCCGCCCTGTCTCCTCCACTTCCTCATTCCCAGCGTCGGGTTGAGCAAGAACAGAGCGGAGCCCTCCTCGGATCAGGGTGAGGCGGAGGGGGCCGGTGGAATCCAAGTTCCTCTTTTGCACAGAGCCAGGTTATGTTGAAATGCTGACTGTGGGGCAGCTCACTTGCAGCATTCACACATCAGCACATGCTGGAAAAAATGTCCTTGCTAGAGCTCCATGAGCTGCAGAAAGATTAAACCCAAAATAGATGGCAAAGGCTTTTAATAATATGAAGGTTAAATCTTCGATCAACAAAAGCACCTTTACGGTCCTGATGCAAAGCCCCGGGAAAGATTCCTAGTGACTTGACTTGGGCTTTGGATCAGATCTAAGGCTGGAAATTTTAATCCGTCCATAAAACGGTGAGTTCATCGGCTGAGTGCTGAGCTGCTTTAAACATAAGGCCCTGCCCATTACAATGGGTGCTGGATACTGGGCTCCTACAGACGTGTCAGAGCAAGTTCAAAGTGCCCCACCACCATTTTTTCAGTGCAGGGATGCTGATATATGTGACATGCGGGTGCTTTTAATTAATTAATTAAAGCACCTGGCTCTGCATCCCAAAGCACGTGCTTTGCATGCTGAGCTGTTTCGAAGCCCTTACTTAGCTGCCTAAACCAGGAACCTGAGCACTTGCAATTCTGCCTCACACTTTCAGGTAGCAGCAACTACTTGGTGAATGTCTGTCTACTCATCTCTTTCCCACCTAATTATTTCAGCAAGTAGGAAACAGAGAACTGGCCTGAACCATGAGGGTCAAGTCCAGAATTGGAACCCAGAGCTTTGCAGGTGCTTGTATTCAGGATTTTGCTCAGTCTGTCTTAGAGAAGAGGACCAGCTGCAATGTCCTATCTGGGTCTGAACGTGGAGGTGCATGGACCTAGCACCCTGTGTGCTTATCATGGGATTATCTGAGCACTTAGAATGATTCTGGACCATCTCTAGTAGGAAGGGTCATAACAAAGAAACTCCAACTGTTGGCCCAGGGTGCCATTTGTCCCCCTCCCTAAATTTCCCATGCTGGGTCTGGGACACTATCTCTCTAGTGGGTACAAAAAATGTTCAGCCAACCTCTTATTTATGCATTGTAGCAGTGCCTCTGGCCCCTGGGCCTGAGCTGGAGCCACATGGTGCTAGGTCCAGCGCAGGATGGCAAAGTAATATTTTCACAATGCTTTTAAGTTCTAAATCACATATGCTCAATATTACGGGCCAAAATTTGGAGTGAGTTCATGTGAGCCAAGTCCAATTCCTAATCAGATCTTCTTTGCTGTGGTCAGGGTCTGGCATTTTTCTCCTGCTTTCTTTCCAAGCTGAAAGTCCTCCTTCAACTACCCCCTTTAAGGCTGTTTTTGGTTTTATTTGTTAGGCTTGCAACTCATAATCCTTATGGGCCCCTGTGCTGTCACTGTGCCATTCACCTTCTCCCCCTGTATTATTACAGTTGTTGAAAGCACAAGGCAGCTCTGTTCTCCCATTGCGTTGGTGCAGTCCTTCCGAAACAGAATTTTTGCATTTGATCCAATACCACAGAGTTGCAAGGGAACTGTCACAGTCCACCCCGTCTGTATCATGCCGTATCACTACCATTGCACTGGGGCCTCCCATTTGACATAGCTCTAGGGCAAAAGAAAGGAGAACCAGATTTTGTCTCTGCCTCTCCATACTCTTCCATTGCAGATGCCTGAGTGGGTCTTTGGGAGTATTTTCTGAGCACTTGACTTGGAGCCTACAGTGGGTACAAGATGTCAAAGAGAACCAGCTCCGTATGGTCTGATCGGCCAACAGAAACACAGCTGCCAGCTCAGTGCTTGAGCATGTTACCTAATGTAGCTAGCAGCAGAGATGCCATACCCAAACTTCGCAGTGGCAGTCATTTGGGATTGCATCCAGAACCCACTGAAGTCAGTGGAAGTGTTTCCATTGACTTCAGCAGGCTTTGGATCAGGCTTTTGTGTAGCGGACCCACAAGGCTAATGCTGTCTGTCACTGCTGCCCTCCACCCTGGAGGTGCCTGCTTTTCTTTTTGCTCTGCTTTGACATTTGTAAAGTTTGCAAAGCACTGGCTGCCTTTCAGAACAAACAGTTATGCTTGGTCCTGGTGCTGAAAGATGCTGGGAGCTACATGTGGGAGCAGGCATGCAGGACCAGTCAGGATAAGCTCATTCTTCTCACAGTCAGCTCTTTCTTTCACTTATTCTCACTGTCTCATTTGCATTTATTCTAGCCTTTCCCCCCCTTTTTTCCCTTGTATTTTCTCATCATCTTGTTGTCTGCCAAGAGCATAACTCACAAAAAATAACGCAATCCCTAAAAATTATATCCCCTTTTTTTTCCATGTGGCATATCCACAAACTCACAGACATTTCTTCAAACTTTTTCACTTTTCAAAATGGTTCAGCATGTTCTTTTACTGATCTTTGTAGCTCTTTGGATTGGTCACAAGCAGATGTCTACTATTGGCTATGGGAGCTCATTTGATTATTTGTGATTGGTCAGAAAGGTCATATAGGACTGTTCTGATTGGATGAACATCCAAGCACTTTGTCATTAATTCTTGTGCTCTATAATGAAAGATTCAGGGTTTGATTGTGCAACACTTCCTCGTGTTAGCGAGCACTCATCCAGCGGCAGGCCCTTTGACTTCAGCGAGTCTGCTTTCCTGAGTACATGCTGGCTACCACGAGGAAGGGGAGCACAGTCCCCTCTCACTTCCCTCGTGAACTGGTCAGGCAACCTTGATATCGTCTACCTGCTAACAGCTGTCTCAGTAAAATATTCCTTTGAAGTTTGAAGCCACAGTGAGCTCATTAGGAAATTGGAAAGAGCATGCACAGGGAATATTTTGCATTATTCTTCTGTTACAGGGAAGGAGCCAGATCTGAGGTGGGCATAACGCAGTTGAAGTCAACAGGGCTCTACTCGTCCTGGTAACTCCATTAGGCTCCATGGTGTCACTCCATTGAGTCAACAGATGTATGGGCATATTCTCCTTTTAAACGTAGCTTTGCTGAAGCCAGAGGCAGAAAGGCCAGCTCCTCCCTGTGCTAACTCCATGGAGGTCAGTGGAGCCACAGCCAAGCTGCTGTATCTCCAGCGAGCCGGTACAGTTACGGCCGTGCTCTTTCCTGGTACGGCTTTGTGGAAGTCCACAGTTGGATGGATGGACTTCCGCCTGCCCTAAATCCCATGACGTCAGTGGAGTTAGGGGCAGGCTCCTCCCTGGGGTGACGGTGCTGATGCCAAGGAAGGAGGGCCTGGGCCACCTACGGTTGCAGTCTGCAGTGAGCAAAGGCCAAATTCGGATTCTGGCTCCCGCTGGCTTTAAACCACTGCTGCTTGGAGGGCGTGCTTGGGGGGCCGTTGTTGTGCTGATTAAGCCACCAGCTCCACACCGCCCCTCTGGAAAGGAAATGGTCCCAGTGAGATTTCTTGCCTAGTGGCAAATAGCATCACCCCCCCACCCCCCCTTTTATCATTAACGGGCAGAGTGGCTGGTGGCTTTGGGAAGGGGGGCGAGCTCTGGCTCACTGATTGCAGGCTGCCTCCTTTTTAATGGCTCTGGAAACCTCCAGGGCTTGGTTTCCTCTTGGTCTTCTGCTGCACCCTCCCTCCCAATTCTGCAGCCCCCAAAAAAACACATTCTCTGTAGTTGCTTTTATTTGTAACCTCCACTTGCTTTGCCTCCCTCGCCTCCCTCCCTCCCGCTCGCGCTCTTCATCTCCCTCCCTCCCTCTCTCTGGGGGGAAAAAAGGTCATTGCGCAAATGATTAGTCAGAGCTCAGTTGCTGTAGCAACCAGCTGCTGTAACTGGGACAGGCATGCATTGAGGACAACAGAGAGGTCGACCATTAGCGAGTGCTGGGGAGCTGAAACCTTTGTATTTGCTTTCAAGAGCTGACGAGCAAGGCAGGGCGAAGCCCCCTGCTCCACGCCACGCGCAGGGACACTCCTTGGGGCCGCAGCTTTGGAAGGAAGCCCTTCCGTTCGGTTTAATTTTTAAATCATCATCATCATCATCGTCGTCGTCGTCGTCGTCGTCGTCACCCCCATCCTCCTTGCTCCCCTCTCTGCTTCCAAAGGAGCCGTCGCGGCCCGGCTCCGCACCCACTCCCTTTGGCTCTGCCAGCTTTGTCTTCCCAGCCCTTGCTGGTGGGTGCCGTACCGCTCCCGGTCCCACTCCTGGATGTGTGCAAGCTGCTGTGTGGCCAGAGCTTGTCCAGGAGGGGATCTCTTCCCCTGGCGCATCGGTGGAAGCAGATGGAGGCTGGGACTCCTTCCTCATCCAGCCCACTCCTCCTTTCCCCAGGCACTGCTGGGCCTCTGCTCCAAGGGGTCAGATTCATTTTGCAGCTGCTGAGTCGGGGAACTCCTACCACATTTCAGAGAAGCGGGGTAGGGTTCCTCGTCCTCTTGCAGCATCTTTCACGTCAAAGGTGAATGTCGGGTCCCCAGCCCTTGTGGGGGTAACTGGGTGTCCTGGCTGATTGCCATCTCTTGGGGACCCCGGTCTGATTTTCATCCTGCCTCCAGCCGTTTCAGCTGGGGATGAGTATTTTTTTTCTTGGTTTGCTGCCTTACTTTTGGGAAGAAGTGGCTGCTTTGCATTGGTGGTTCCCTTTGGTAGAGAAGGGATAGGGTATGGTTGCAATGGAGAAAGGGTCACTTCTGTGCTGAGGCAGCTAGATGCAGATATATTCTGTGAGTCTCTCTTCCTGCCTTATTAACCCAACCTGTGCTGCCCAAGGGCCCCTTGAATAGCCTCCCAAAGTCATGACTTGGGCTAAGCAGACAGAGATGCAGCTATATTGCAGGGGAGGTGCAGTGTGCCCACAGTTTCCTCTGACTGAAGGTGGGGTGGTGGGTGCTCCCCATCTCTGCAAATTGGGTCCCAAATGAAATAACTCCTTTCTTGCCAGCCCTTGCAAAACTGAAGTGGGTGGGGGGGTCTGCCACTGGCTTGACAGAGCTGTGGATCAGATTTGTACTGCTGCTGTGGGGCTATGCTGAATGCAGTGCAATTTATCACAGCGATTGTAGGGTTTCTTCCTGGAAAGACTGCAAGGTTTGTTAATACACTTAAAAGTAGCCTGTGCCAGCTGGGCAGGGCTGGCAGGAACCTTGCTCCACTTCAGACCCTGTAGTTTACTCTTTCTGTCTCTCTCTCTTGCAATCTCCCAAGGATTGCTGCACATGAAGACCTTCCCCCGGGAGATAGACAGTCCTAACCTTCTGTGCCATCACTCCCTGCAGGTTAAATTGCTGCCTTCAGACATGCTGTCACAAATGTCTGAGGGCCCCCTGATGTTTTCAGGCAGCATCAGACTAGGGGACAGGAGACCACTTTGGCTGTGGGGTATTGCTTGTCCGGTGCAGATATGGACCAGTATCATAGAGGCTAAGTAGGGCAAAGGATCATTCAGTAAAGTGCCAAATACCTTGCAGAATCCCACCTCAGTAGAAACAGCCCTACAGGGGACTGAAGGACGCAGTCCCAAATCTTGAACTATCAGAAGCTGTGAATGCTGTAAAGGGAAAGGGGGAAAAGGTGTGACAGGGAAGAAACCCTGGTGTCAGGAGCGCAGAGCTCCGGTGCAGAGGTGAAGAGGGCCATGTGGGCTACCTCTCGCCCTGTACCCACACAGCACCAAGTCCAATGGGATGCCAGTCTCTTTTGGTGCTTGGAAGCCCTCCTGTGATAAGATAATAGACTATGATACCTAAGTAGAGAGCAACTATAATCCCATGGTTTGCGGGGTCCCTCTATTGGGTCTTGGCATCTTAATCACAGCGCTGCTGCAGACATGCTCTTAGGCAAGTCACTTAAGTCCTGTAGTATTTTAGTTTCCCCATATATGATCTGGGGATACTGGCCCTGGAGTAGCATTGCAAGGTGAACTAGTTAACGTTTGCAAAGTACTTTGCAATGGTTATAGGGCAGATGCCAGCAAAGAGCACCATGTTGTTGGAAATTGGGAGTAGCCACGAGTACTGTTGGGGATACGGTTAAACCTGGCTACAAAGCACTGGTAGTGATCTGAGCCCGTATAGGCTGGGGGTGGAAAGGTAGCTCTGGTTAGGTTTCACAGGAACTCCCATGAGTTGCTGCTGTAGATAGACATCTGAATACTCCTCCGGGAAGCAGCAGGCCTACATTTCCAGCCCTAGGAAAAGACTTACCTGGTACTCTATGAACCAATGTGATTGAGTGACTTAGTGCAGATGTCCCAATGTCTGCTGGTAGGGCATCCGATAAATGCACTTCCACCAGCAGAGAAGCAGGAGCACATTTCTCTAGCGTAACGTTTCTACAAAGTGAGAAGGCAATTTCCAGTGCTCCTGAAAGTTATTTTCATTACTGTGCTTCTATTAAAGTTATTCTCATGCTGACTGTCATGACAGTGTTACAGTGTTGTCAACACTTCTGATTTATATTGTACATCTCACGATACTTCATGCCTTTCTTAAACCTTTTGTCCTGGGAGTCGTGTGACTATGTGAGAACCACAGTTCTTGTTTAAAAAAAATTCTAGCTCTCACAGCTGTAGACAAAAGCTTTAAACTGTGACTTGAGTATTGCCTAAAGGCTCACAAGACAATACGGAAATGAAAAGAGCCCAACATTGATTCTTCTTCCTCTTCTTTTTTAAAATCTCATGATTTTAAAGCCAATTGGGTGATTTTTGTGATTTGATTCATGATTTATGAATGCTTGGAGTTGCCATTTCCATTCTTGTTATTTATTTGTATTATTGTTGTGTTTTCCTTTAGAGTCACTGAAACAGAGTTTCAGATTAAGTGACTAATGTTTTAGGCTATAGAAGATGACAAAGAAAGCATATAAGGTCTCCGGGAGAGAGAAAAGAAAGCATAGTGACTCACTGTGTAAGTCTGCATCTGAAACTTAAAGCACAAAACGGTGACCACCTCCCGCTACCCCTGCAACAGGCAAGCAGAAAGCTTTCTGTGGGAAGGTGCAGGTCACAGAAAACGGAAAGCCCTGTCCTTTCGGTTAGGTAGCTACAGCTCTCCTTCATTCAGGAGGGTCCCAAAGTGATGTATAAACTGTGCAGATACAAAGGCTCTAATGAAATGCAGCTACCTTTGGATCAAAGTGCACATCATATTATACAGGAGTCATACAATCATAGAGAAGTAGGGCTGGAAGGGACCTTCAGAGGTCATCTAGTCCAGCCCCCTGCCTGAGGCTGGATCATCCCTACCCTAGCAAAGGGACAGATTGGAAGTTTTGACCAAGGACACTGGGACAAGCCCTGACCCTCATGAAAAGTGCCTTGGGATCCTTCTTGTCCACGTACAGCAGGTCATTCTGATTGCAAGGCTGATGATGAACTACACCTGTCCCTGCAGGAGACTGCAACATCACTAATGCCAGGGCACAAAGGAATGTGTCAGCTTGGCCAAAACCCAAACCTGTTGCCTCTAAGAAATCCAATATTTTAAACTTACAGCTTAGCACACTTAGCTGTCTTCTCCAGTGGTGAGCTAGGAAGCCCTGCCAGCCTTCTTTATCTCCTTCTGCTTTAAACTGTGCTGCTGAAGTCCTGGGAGCCTTTCTGAACACTTGTGTCTGCTGAGAACCCCACACACAAGCATATGAACCCTACACTTGAACATAGGTATCAACATAAGGCGAAGAAGAATAGATTGGCTGAACCCCATTCTCCTACGGATTAAGGCATCAGAAATGGGACCTGTGGTACATCTCTCCTGGGTGGCCCTAGTTTTCTGAAAAGAGACAACAGGTTGGCAGTGGTACAGATGGGGACAGTTTTGTCTGCAAACCACATCCAATAAAGATTGACAAAAGCATGTGTAAGAGTTTGGGTGATGTGTCTGTGCCAATACACTTTGGTGGTATGACCTGGGTGGTCACCAGTAGGTAGTGACAAAGGAGGAGAAAGACCTGATTGTACTACTTGACTGCAGGATGATTGTGAATCTCCAATATCATCCAGCCATGGAAAAGCAAATGCAATCCAAGGAAGTATTAGGTTGAGGTATTTCCAATAGGAATGGGGGAGAATTAACACCGTTAGATAAGATATTGATGAGACCTCATCTAGAATACTGTGAACAAGTATGGCCATCCATGTTCAGAAAAGATGAATTCAGACTGGAAGAGGTGCAGAGAAGAGCTAGTAGTGTGATCAGGGGAACAGAGAGGAAATGAAAAGAGCTTGGCAAAATAAAGATAGAGAAAGGAGAGGATTTCTATACATGCCATAAGGGGTGAATGCAAGTGATGGAGACCAGCTGTGCTAGCTAGAGGAGAATGGTGCCTTACAATCAAATGGGTATTAACTGGTGCTGGATTTAGGCAGGGTATTAGAAGAAGGTTTCTGCAATCAAAACAGTGAAGGTCTGATAGAAACTTCTAATGTGAGTAGTCAGGACAGAATACCTCCAGCTGCTTTTCGGATGGCGCTTGATCAGTTTATGAATGAAATTATACAACAGGATCGCCCAAGATAGCTGGAGATTGGACTTGATGACCAAGACAACCTTTCCAGTCTTTTGTAACTTATGAATTCCATTTTTCTTCTGTGAATGCCACGTTACATTTCATCCTTGCTTTTGAATTTAACCATTAGCATGGCTTTCAGCATTCATTTTGCAACAGAAACTGTACACTTCACTGGACTCTGTCTGGGAAGCCATGACAGAGCAATTGGTTGCCATCAGGACTGAACGTGGCTCTACCCTCATGGACAATGAATCTGTCACTTATTTAGAGTTGTAATGACTCTGTGCTGAGGTGCCAAATTGGGGTTTGGAGTCTGGAAGTTACAGCTGGTTGGGAATTTTTTGACAAAGCAGTTTTCCACTGATTGGACCAGAACAAAATGTTTTACAGCAAAAGGTCTAATCTTTTATCAGGAAAGTTTTCTCAGGTCCAGAATGGTCTGAATCGGAGAGAGAAAGAAAAGGAGACCATAAAAACCAATTGTCAGGTGGGCAGGACACTTAGCTGCAATGTGGGACGTGTAGGTTTTGAAGCCTCCCACATCCCAAGTGAGCTTCCTAACCCCATAGCTATTATGGGATGGCCTGTTGTTGGCCTACAGATGTCTCTCTCTCTCTTTTTTGTAAAATTTTTTTAAAGGGTCTTGGTTTTAGGCCAATGGAGATTTGGAACCAGTTAGTCTCTAACATGCTGCCCTGCCCTGTCTTCTACCTGAGTTCAAATGAATGCAGCTAACCACCACTTTCTGGTAGCAGAGAATTGAAAAACATTTCAAATCTTACCAGTTACCTTTAGAGGTGCACCGATATACTGGTCCCATATCGGAGCAGCACTGATACAAGGAAACGTGACAGTATCGGGAGTTGGCTTTTTTTGGCTGATAATGTGGCCGATAAATGCCCTGTGCATGCATAGCTACAGTTGGCAGTCTCCACGCTGCCCAGCTGCATATTGGAATTGGATTGGTATCGGGTGATATGGTTCGCTAAAAATCAGCCATAGGTATTGGCCCACAAAATCTGTGTTGGTGCACCCCTAAGCACTCTCTAACAATAAGGTTGAAATTTATCATTCTCTCCCAATGAAGCATGTTGGTGTGGACAGGGGCAGATTCCCCTGCTAGAAAACATCTTCTGAGACTGGAGCAGGAAGACCATTAGTGGTGACATGTTCTGTTAGGGTAGCCCCATTGCACTGCTAGCAACTCCCAAAAATAAAAGGAAAAGATTGGGCCCCATCTCAGGGGCTGGGGCTAGGTTTGGAGGTGTGGGTTGCAGACACTGGACTAACTCCTAACTGTAGAAGTTTTTTAAATGAGTAGAAACTAAGTATTTCATAGATTTCATAGACATTCAGGCTGGAAGGGACCCTGGAGCATCATCCAGTCCAGCCCAAGTCAGCAGGGATCATAGGATCCCAGCAAGATAAGCATCCAAAAGTGTCTTGAAGGTGTTCAAAGTAGGTGCTTGAACCACCTCCGATGGCAGGCTATTCCAGACCTTGGGGGCTCAGACAGTAAAGAAATTCTTCCTTATGTCCAGCCTGAAACGGTCACAGAGGCGTTTGTGACCATTTGACCTTGTCATCCCTTTGGGCACTCTGGTGAACAAACATTCCCCCAGATCCTGGTGGTCACCCCTGATAAACTTATAGGTGGCCATCAGATCACCCCTGAGCCTGCGCTTTTCCAGGCTGAAGAGCCCCATGGCTCTCAGCATCTCATCATAAAGTCTGTTTTCCTGACCTCTGATCATGCGTGTGGCTCTTCTCTGCACTCTCTCAAGCTTCTCCACATCCTTTTTGAATTGTGGAGCCCAAAACTGGATGTAGTACTCCAGCTGCGGCCTCACCAAGGCCAAGTACAACGGGAAAATGATGTCCCGGGATCTGCTTGAGAAGCAGCTATGGATGCAAGCCAGCGTTTTGGTTGCTTTACTAGCCGCAGCATCACACTGAAGGCTCATGTTCATCTTGTGGTCAATCATGACCCCCAAGTCTCTTTTGTCCGCCGTGCTAACCAGCGTAGCACTGCCGAGCCTATAAGGATGCTGCAGGTTTTTCTTCCCAAGGTGGAGAACCTTGCATTTTTCGGTGTTAAACACCATCAAGTTCTCGTCCACCTGTTTCACGAGCCTGCATTCAAGTAGTGCTGCTTCAGGATTTGGCCATTTTTGTCTGTCATCTTTCCATTTTATGTGTAGTGTTTGCTTCTTCCTGGCTTCTCATTATATTTTATGATTTTTCCCACTCTTGGTTTTGTGCGGTTTAAAGACGCGTTACTGGGTCGCAGCATGAATTCGTCTGTCAGGTACTTTGGTTAATTCTGAACATTATCCAAGTAAACCAGTTATAAGGGGCTTGTGAGTTTTAAATATGTAAGAAATCATTCAGGCAAGAATCAAGCAAAGGAGCAGTCTAATTGTTGCCTCCCTTTTTGGCCTCTGCAGGGCTGTGCAGTACTCTTTTGGGCACTCAGCGCTACTTTGTTCCAGCCAAGAGATAGAAGCACTTTTGTGATGGGTAGAATAATTTCTGTTGTGAAGTCCAGAGCTTTGAGGTTGAAGACACTATTTGTGTGGGATTAAACTGCATCTCAAAGACCCAAACCATATTATAGATGTGTGTGTGTTGGGGGGGGAGGGGGGAGCCTTTCTAATTGAATTGGTAGGAGCACCTCAAGTTGGCACCTGGCAGGTACAGCTGCACCTGATTATGCAAGTGGTGGATTCAACCCCAAATCTCAAACAATAGTAAGGAAAAAACAGACAGAAAAAAATATCAAGCATCAAAATGGCACTAGGGGAATGACGCAGTGGAGGTGAAATATCAAAGGGAGAAAGGAAGTGCACGGTAAGAGAAAGGGAAACAGATGAGAGAATAGCGGGAAGTGACCTCACTGAGCCAGGAGAGGGGTGGAGAATCCAACCGCTGAGATGAAAGGGAAATAGGAAAAGGATACAGATGGGACAGACCATGCTGGAGGGCGTTGGTGAACCAGAGCTACTGCCTGCATGGTCCAGCTTTCTCTGCTTGCAGCGGCGCTCAGTTCCTGCTGTCACACTTGCATACAAGCTCAGCGAGCCCTTAACCGCAAAAGCCTCGTCAACAAGAGGCTGGGTTCAGCCCGGAGTTAATGCCACTTTCTGCCGACATAAGCTCAAATGCAAAGCCCCCCTCTGTGGTCCGTCTACCAGGTGGGGAGGTTTGGCAGCTGCCCTGGGCTCCGGTGAGGCCCACAGTGTGGATGGGGGAAGGCTGGGGAATGCCATGACTCAGTTCATTAACTCAGCGGGGGACTGTTCTCTCTCAACCCAAAAGTCGTTTCCTCCTCCTTTCCACGGGCGCTTCGGTTGCTTGCCCTCTCTCTGAGCGCAGGACGGGAAGGGGGCAGGGGCGGGGGGTTCAGGTTGGGGCAGCGGCCCTTACATCAGCCGTCCAGAATGGATCTGGCCATGTTGCTTTGTCATTTCCAGATGCATCCACTGTGTTGACTGTCCATGGGAGCTAGCTGAGTCCTCTATCACCTTCCTCATCTGCTGGACAAGAAGGATCCACAGCGGGTTTCCATGTGCTTTCCTAAGTAGGACAAAAGGTGATTGTCAGCTGCCAAGGGTATTGCAGAAAATGCCTCTGATGAAGTTGAGGTAGAATTAGGATGAGAGCAATGTAGCAACCTTGAAATCCAAAGTGCGATTGGGAACCATCCCTCTCCGGGAAGAGGCTGAGCCATGTCAGCTGGCTGCCTTCTCCTGCTGTCTGCTTTCCCCACTGATCCAATAGGAGGCCATAAGGAAGTTGCTCTGATCTGGTATCATCAGCTCAGGCTCACTGCAGAGCAGACATTTCTGCTGACGATTGCAGTGCATTACAGAACCATCTTCTCGGAGCCGCGGGTTTGCTTAAAGAAAGCATGGAGCGCATGTCGTACTCCGACCCTGCTGCTGTACATTGCAAGGACCACCAGGATCAATGTCCCGGCTTCCTGCGGCGAGACTGCACGGCTGAATCCAGAGGAACTGCTGCTCCTTGAAGCACTCTCATAGGTGCCCCTAGAAGAGAGGCTTGGAGCTGCCTGGAATTTTTTGCATGGAGAATTTTATTTTTAGTTAAAAACGAGCCTTTTAAAAACAAACCAGCTCCAGCTGCTCATGAAGAAAGTCTCAGCATAATTGATTTTTTTCTGTTTTTCACAAAATCATTAACAAGATTTAAAAATATATATATATAGAATTTCAAAATCTTTACTGAGACTTTGTGTGTAGCAAAATTGCCCCAGTATAGCATCAGAAAATGTAGTTGGGAGAGAGAGGATGAACAGACACTGTGGAGCAGGACTTTGGA